AATGCAAAATTTCTGACAGTGTAAACAGCATAAGGAAAAGCTTGCCCAAAAAACCGGTTAAATAAAATATCCACCAATATCGTAAGTCATCGGCAAACAACGTTTATTGGATTATTGCTGTTTTGTTGTTGTTGTCGTCGTTGTACGATTCTCTAGATGGTGGCGGCAGTTACCTACCACCGCCACTGCTGTCGGACATTGGACGTTTTTGTTGCTGTTTTCGGGCCTGGCCTGGTCTGGTCTTTTGTTGGTTAGTAGGGGAATAACTGAGAAGGTTCCTCGAAAACACTTTTTGTTGATTTGTTTATTTTTAAATGACGTTGTTTGACAACGAACACGACGACCACCTCCAGCCCGCCCGCCCTCCTTTTTCTTGCAATGAAGCGTGGCGGTATAATTTTACAAGCTGAAGAAACAACAACAGCAAAAATAAACGTGTCCATTTAGTATTTGTCTGCACGATGATATGAAAATTTAAAACCGTAATTTGTTGTCCGATCATTCAAATTTGATTGAGAAGCATATTAAAAACTCGGACATAAATTATGATTAAGCTGGATGACACAGAAGTATCGAATTTGATATGGTAAATATGGAAATTATTATTTTTGTTTATTATTCTATAAGGTAGAATAAATAAGGTCTGTTAAAAGGGTCACAACGAGGAGGTCGTAATGTGTACCTTAAATATATCGAAGAGGTATTAACAATGTTTAATTCAACGAAAATGCCCTTGGCGAGATAAATATATATATATATATATATATCGGAACATTGGGCCCCGGTGTAATTTCAATGTCCTCTCCATACATAAAAATGATTTCGGTCTAAAACCATTAGATCATTTCGAAATTATTCGAAGAAAACTGGTTGTAATAAAAATTTATTTACAAACAGTAATCGTGGTCATATATCAAACAACTAAAACAAACTCATAAATCTCCGAAGAAGAGATGAATATGTAATAGACAACCCTCTTTAATAGTACTTTAAAAAATCTTTGCCGCCTAAGATGACGATGGAAATAAACCCGGAAGAAATACATAAATTGGAGAATAATAAAAACACGAATTACACTAACTACTTCAAATCAATGATGATATTCAAAAAATCACACGTATCTCATAAAAAAAAACAACAATTTTGAATTGGCCAACAACCTATGACGCATCGTGCACCACTTTTTTATATGGTAAGTAGAAATTTTAATTACAAAATAAGTATGAAAAAACGAAATTTAAAAGTGGCTGGACTTGGAGCTAATGCTATAGACCCCAAAGTAAACAAGCAATATCCCCTGAAATGAAGTACCTTAGCAAAAGAGCTCAACTTTGTGCATTACCAAAATATCACAATATCTTCATCTAAACTTTGATATCGATGTTTGCGGCCAATGGGAAAATTATTCCACACAAAATTTCACTATGGGTACCCTAACTAAGCTAATAGATAGCTAAAATATAATCCGGGAAATATCGGCAGATTTTTTGTAAAAAATATACAAATTTGCGAACTTTGCGTATTTCCAAAATATGGTCATATCCTCCTCTAAACTTTATTATCGCTGCTTGGTGCCAGTGAAAAAATGTTCTACACAAAATTTCACTAGGGGTTACCGAACAAAGCAAATCGATAGCTATAATATTAATCGGGGGAAATATCGGCAACAATTTAACTATGGTTGCAAAAAAATTATCTTGATCGAATTTTGGGTACATTGTGTTTTTCCAAAATATGGCCATATCCTCCTCTAAACTTTATTATGGCTGTTTGGTTTGGGAAAATTATTATAAACCAAATTTCGCTATGAGCTCCCGAACAAAGCAAATCGATATCAATAATATTTACAGGAGAAAAATTGGAAGCGGTTTAAAAATTGTTGTCTAAAAAAAATATACCTTTGGTCAAATTTTGCGTACTTCCATAATGTTAGTATATGCATCACTAATATTTATTTTAGAGGGTTGCTGTAAAGGAAGAAAATATTCTCCATAAAATTCTACTAGAGGTCTCCAAATACCTCAAATCGGTAGCACCTAGGGATATTTAAACAAACCAAATTGTATTTATATTATAATATTTACGGGAGAAAAGTCGCCAGAAATTTAAAAATTGTGGTGTAAAAATAGCTATGTTCCATATTGTCGTATTTTCAAAGTGTTACCATATCTACCAATAAACTTTATTTTATAGGGTTGCTATAAAGACAGAAAATATTCTCCAGAAAATTTTACCAGGGGTCTCCAAAAAACCAAACCGGTAACATCTAGGGTTCTTCAAAGAAACCAAGATGGTATATGTTGTATAAAATGTGACTTTAATCGAATTTTGCATGTATTGTGTATTTACAAAATATAATATAATATAATAACTAAACTATGCATATAAATAGACCATCTTTGCAAATTTTCCAAATATAAAATCGGTAAAACTCAAAAACACACTGTTTTCATAAATTAACATATTGGAGGAGATATTTTTTGATATATTTCTTAAGTGATCCAATGTAAAATTTGCTGAAGAATATTTTCTCCATTGATACTATGGTCCTAAAGCTATAAATTATGCTTTGATTTTGTCAAATTCGGAAAACCTTGAAATAACCTCAAAATAATTCATTAAAAAATACGTAATATAATGGGAGCATATAATTTATCAATATAAACTATATTTACAGTTATCTTTTGTTTTAAGACGTATAACAAAATTCGATGTAGTATATTCATAGGTAGCATCCCTCTAAAGTGAAAATTTTTACCTTATTTGCAGCATTTTAGAAAAGGTACGAAATAAACTTCTTGATTCACCATGTTGACATCATTATAGCAAAATCTTCAAATTAAGTTGACCTTATCTGTTATATGTGTACTTGTGAAAACCCATTGAGCTCATAAATATATTGAATTTGTAACTAAATAAACAAAACGTCAAAAACATCACTTTCAATACCTTTTTCCCCTTTATTTTACACTGACTCATATATTTGTGTTACCAATATTTGCATTGCCATTAACCGGCACAACTACTATCCGCCTAGCATCATCATTTGCTTCCAAGATGCACACAGAATACAAGGTAATTCCTTGAACTCTATACGTATTCCCCAACAACAAAACATGTATTTACGTACGGTTATATTTTGATGTTACGAAGTGTTCCCAGAATTATTTTAAAATTAAAAAAAGAAATAAACGAAACACATACTCTCATTTTTTTCAAAATATTATTATTGCTGTTGTTTTGCAAATAAATCCGAAACGCAAGTGCCAAAATGAAACGTGATGAAATTGCACTTCGAAATTTAATGGCCTAGTCAATTTTTGTTTCGTCTTCTCTTTTTTATTTTTAAAATTTATATCTTAAAAGATTGTATACCTACCTATATACAGAAAAAAATTCCATCGAAAAATTAACATGATTTTATGTGCTTACTCCGATGACCTTGAAATTGAAAGTAAAATAAAAAATGTCATGAATTGTTTATTTCGATGCAATTGGTGGATGCACTTAATTAGGAAATTATATACAACTTGTTTAATATATTTGAATAATATATATCATAATTACAATTATCCTTTGTTCGGAAACCCATAAAGAAATGTCATGTAGAATATTTTCGTCTTTGATGCTATCTTTCTAAGTTGAGAAATTTAGCGTCAATTTGATCAAATTCGAAAACCTTCACAATAACCTTAAATTAATGACTATGTACTTATCTCGAAATTTGAAACATATATATATATATATATATATGTAGAATTTTTCTTCCATTGGTAGCATACCTCTAAAATTAAGACTTGTCGACCATTTGTGCTAATTTGGGAAAGGTAGCAAATTGAAAAAAAAAAAAATGTTTTTTAGGCTCAAATTGTGAATAATATTTAAATATTATCTTCTATATCTAAGCTGTCTTTAGTTCGGTGACCCTTAGTGAAATTTAATGTAGAATATTTTATCCCTTGAAAACCGAAACATTTAAAATAACCTCAAAATTACTATTATTCCCTATTTGAAACACTGTTTTTATCGATATATATGTATTATTTACAGCTATCCTGTGCTCAGTGACCTATAGTTAAATTTTATGTAGTTAAATTTGGTAGTAACCCTCCAAAATAAAGATTTGTAGCTCAATTGTAGGAATTTAATTTCGTGTTCTTTGTGGCAGATAATTTACAATGAATACCCATGTTTTTTATGTAGCCCATACTGACTGATTTTAGGTATATTAAATACTATTTTAAATATCCACTTCATGATGGAGAACATGTAAAAACATGATACCCAGGTCATCACCAATATTTACTTACAAAGAAGATTCCGCTGCAAATCCTGCGGTGGCGGCATTGGCATCTTTCCATGGAAGTATTTGTTAAATTTCTAATGGGTAAAATGTATATTTTTCTGTTGATTAAAATAGTTATTTATTTCAAAATTATTTTTCTACTAACCTTCGAATCCTGAAATACTTCCTGTGGTATTTTGTGATCACACCTTTTTGGGTTATGGCTTCCTTGGGGCTTTTTAATTATTCACAATTATTGGACAGAATTCCAATATTGGCTACTTGGTAGTCCATCAAAAATATTCCCCTACAAATGTCCATTTTTCGGGTTCCAACTTCATTCTCTTTGATAATTTGATAACGTTAGCTTCTAATTTGTTTATATTATTCATTTTTTATAATTAAATTCGCTTTCTCGTCTCCAGCAATTATTGGTTGATTTTTTCCTCGGCTTGCTTATTTCACGAATAAAATTTACAACCGTTGGGCACATTTTCAATATTCGATCCTTATTTGTGTTTCAAATTTGTTCCCCTCCAGATAAACATATTTGGAATTCTAACTTCTATCTCTTTGATATTTTTATGAGGTTCGCCCTCTAATTTAATTCTAGATTTTCAAGTTTTTATTAAAAAAATTATTCAAAATTTTTTATTCTACTACCTTTTCCATACAACCCTGTTCTCGCTACCAACTAGAGTTGTATTTCACCATACAATCATATGCTTGTTTGTTCGAATTCGAACGTGGGCTTGATGGCGATTTTCGAAAATGGCTGCTGTTTCCGCTCAACAATTTTTCCTGTCTTTCTGAAAAGCGACGATTACAGGTCGACACCATGAGGTACGATTTTTCGTAAATAAATTATGAATTTAAGTGAAAACAAATTGAAAATCGCATACCAAGCATGCCTAAACATGTCTACGAAAAGTTTGCAATGAATTTCGGTTGAAAAACGAAAGTAATTTTGTGTTTTATTTTGCAGTTCGCTTAAACTTCAAAAGAGGCTGGCAGCCTCAGTAATGAGATGCGGCAAAAAGAAGGTTTGGTTGGATCCCAATGAAATCAACGAAATTGCCAACACCAACTCCCGTAAGTAAATGGAAGGGGTGACGGGACCAGAGGGTCTTGGAAAAACTATTGTGTAGTGTTTGAAGTGAAGCAAAGGGTGTGGAACACAAAGTGATGGTGGTGCGGAAAACTAAGAAACGTGGTCTAAATGCGGCATGTGTTTGTGTGTGTGCGTGCAGTGTCTTTGAAAACAAAAACAATGCAGTATACATCCGTCGTGGCGGCTTTTCACATTGGAATTATTTTAATGTGAATCGGAAACAATTGCAATTTGAATTTTTTTGAGAAGTGCATTTAGGTTGCGGATCGGAACTGCTGTTCAATGTTGATGCCAGTCCATTAAGTTTCAAGTGTGTGACCCTTTTAGATTGTGGAACCTTCAGTTATCTAAAATTCTGACCATTCAATTATGATCCCAACAGCTCCAGACAAGTGCATGAAATTTGTTTATAAATATTTAAGGTTATAAAATGTAAAATACAACAAAAACATTTACACCGCCAATTAACTAGTACAACAATAAAATACATTTTCAAATGGGAGGTTATCCCCCCCACCAATCAACTTGTGTTCCACATGCCGCTAACCCCAAACATCTGGCACCATTTAAATTTGTTTCTAAACGATTTATTAATTGAACTTCCTTTTCTGTTGTTAGGCCAAAACATCCGCAAATTGATCAAGGATGGTTTGATCATCAAGAAGCCCGTCGTTGTCCACTCTCGTTACCGTGTCCGCAAGAACACCGAAGCTCGCCGCAAGGGTCGTCACTGCGGTTTCGGTAAGCGCAAGGGTACCGCCAACGCTCGTATGCCCACCAAATTCCTGTGGATGCAACGTCAACGCGTCCTCAGACGTTTGCTGAAGAAGTACCGCGACAGCAAGAAAATCGATCGCCACTTGTACCATGACTTGTACATGAAGTGCAAGGGTAATGTATTCAAGAACAAGCGTGTCCTCATGGAATACATTCACAAGAAGAAGGCCGAGAAGCAACGCAGCAAAATGTTGGCCGATCAAGCTGAAGCCAGAAGACAAAAGGTCCGTGAGGCCCGTAAGCGCCGCGAGGAACGTATTGCCAACAAGAAACAAGAGCTCATCAACATGCACGCCAAGGAGGATGAAGCTGCTGCCGCCGCCGCTGCTGGCAAGAAGTAAATTAGGCAATCGTAGTAGTTTTGTACGCTTTTTTTGTTTTCATTAAAAGAAAAAATGAAGAAAAACACACTCCAAAATACCATCATCAATGTGTTGAACATTTATTTAAAAACAAAAACAACAATGTGAAGTGAAGGAAAAAAATGAATTGTTGGGATATGCATTCATCATCACTAGGGTTATTGTTTAACTTAAAAAAGATTCAGGAGGAAAATAGTGCATTAATTTATTTATAACAGCAAGCCTCAAGCATAGGCTTCCGAAATACCGTCTGGTCTCCTCCGCTATGATCGGAAGGAGCTCTTTTTTCAGTTCGTCTTATAGAAGACTTTTTTTAACTTCTTTGTAAACAAAGAACTAAAAGGCCAGAGGGGTCTTTTATAGAAGAATCATAAAAACAATGGGAAAATTGTTTCTCTCTGGATACTATTATAAGATCCATAAAATGGAGACCTAGTATTCTACAAATTGGAAATCATTCCCGTCTTCTATAAAAGTTATAAGACTATGAGGTTTTCTTCGATCAGAAGAGAAGACAATTAGGCCTATCATGAAAATCATGGTCGTCTTTAAATAGAAAACCTCTTAGTGTTCTTCAAATTGGAAAATATTCTTGTCATCTACAATAGTTAATAAGAAGACTGGAGATTTCATCGACCAGTAGAGAAGACATTTAGGTCTATTATGGGGATGGTTTCTGATCTTAGATGAGAAAGAAGTGTTCTAGGAAAACCTTGGCTTCTATGAAAAAATTTGTGATCTATGAAAATACCTTTGTTATTTACGAAAAAATATTTTCTTTTGTGAAAATACTTCTTTGCTATGAGCAGATTTTTCTAGCCTCCTTTTAGAGAACACAAGTCATTTGGGTCAATACCTTCTTTGCTATGGACAGATTTTCTGACCTCCTTTTTGAGAATACAAGTCATTTGGCTATATACATTTTTAAGGCACGTTTCTTCGGACCAAGTCCGTTTCGATAATTTTGAGTTGATATACAAATGTCCGTCTGTCTTTTTGCTTGGCTGATGCCCACGATAACTCCTGAAGAAAGTAGGCGATTTCAACCAAACTTTGCACATCGTAATATTTTTTCCAATGTTAAATTTCGAACATGAGATCCATTGGTCCACTCCTTTTTGTTACATACGCCACAAAGCGTAAATATTTTTAAAACCTTTTAGACCCTTTTTTAAATACCCACGATATACAAAAGCCTTTGAAATGTTCTTTTAGAAATCAAGGAATTAGATACTCTTTAAAACATCCACGCATTAGATGGGCCTTGAAAAAATACTCTTTAAAACATCCACGCCTTAGATGGGCCTGGAAAAAATACTCTTTAAAACATCCACCCCTTAAATGGGCCTTGAAATATTGAAATATTCGTTAAAAAATGCACGCCTTAGATCGGTCTTGAAAAATATTCTTCAAAAATCCATGTCTTATACATAAATGCCTTTGATTTTTTTTTAATTCCACGCCATTACATGCCTTAAAAATATTCTTAAATGGGCATTGACAAAATACTCTTTAAACATCCACGTCTTAGGGCGGCCTTGAAAAAATACTCTTTAAAACATCAACGCCTTAGATGGGTCTTGAAAAATATTCTTTAAAAAATCCACGCCTTAGACAGACATTGAAAAAATAATATTTAAAAAATTCACGCTTTAGTTGCAAAATTGAAAAGTTGAAAAATATTCTTTAAAAAATCCATGACTTTTTAATACAAATGCATCCTTTTTTATTAAATAAATTTAAATACTGTGTAAAAATTTATTATTTTATTTTTTTCAAGAAAAACAAAAAACTATTAACATTTCCTGGGGGTTTTCACATACCAAATGTGTGCATCATATACACACAAAAATATATGCTCAAAAGCACATACAAAGAATGAATCTTTATGAACTTTATAAAATCGGGAGCAAGAAACACTTCCAACACCGCTCAGTGCCGCTTCAGCTCATTGACCAAATCGATTGGTTTAAAATGATTAACCACATTCACCGTCCAATCGGATTCATGTCCCTTGGTATATTCCTTAATGAAACGATAGTTGCACACGAACACCTTGTCTTGATATTCTGGCATTGTGCCCATATTCCATGGAATTTCTTCTCCAGATTCACGCATCTCCTTTAAACCGCGTAACACATGGAATACCATGGTAATTTCCACCCAACGTTTTTGTACATCTTTATTTTCCTCATCGAACATAATGCCGATTTGATAGGGAAATGTGAGGTAGATATCGCTCTCTTTGACTTCCAATTGGCGACGCTGTGATACGGAGAGTTTCTGTATGACGGGTTTTAGTTCGTTGAGCGCCTCTTCGGATACCAAATTACCAAGGTGGGCAAAATCACCGTTCATTAATTTTGATGAGATAACCTGAAACAGAGTGAGAGAAATAGAATTCAATAATCTATTAGTGGGAGTTTATGGGTTCTTTGTAGTTTCCACTTTAGACCATATAAGTCCAAAATTAAGAGCTTGAAACATATAGATCTGTCCGTAATCCATGCCTTAAAGAATCCTTGAAAATATTCTTTAAACAACCCATGTCTTAGATAGACCTTAAAAAATTATTCTCTAAAAAAATCCAATCCTCAGACTTTCCTTATAAAATTCAAGCCTTAGATATACCCTGAAGAAATAGTCTTTAAAAATCTATACCCCAGCCTTAGATAGACCTTGAAACCCTATTCTTAGTTATCCTTAAAACCTTATTAAAAACTTGAAAATATATTCTTAAAAAGCCCTAGGTAGACCATAATCCTATTTTTAAATACAGTGGTGGTCACAGAATTAAAACATTTACTGTGGTAAACATTTTTTGATCAGCCCTCGATTCGTTTGAAGTATTTTTGAAAATTTTTTAATTCAAAACACTTCGATATACTGCACTTAAAAGGTTTTGTGCGAAAATAGAAAATTATTGCATGCAATTTTCCATAAATAACGGTTTTTATGAAAATACATCGATTTTGAAGTGGCCATTTAATTAAAACATTGTGTGATTTTTTACTTTACTGTATTTTTTTTTTTTTTTTTTTGAAAATATTTTTAAAAAAGCTCATTAATGTAGTTTAATCATGTAAACTAAGCACTGTTAGAATCATTTACAGATAAAAATATCTGAAAAAATCTGTAAAATCTATCAAAATTTCCCAAAAATTGGTACAGTACACCTAACATTCAGAAATCACCCTTATTATAGAAAATAAAGGTCCGAATGCACTAGAAATTGCTAGAATTAGTAAAAAACAATTAATAATTTTCAACATGAATAAATATTTGAAATAAAAACTCAAAAAATTGGAATTAACCTAAAGGATCGATTCAATTTCAATAGCCTTTACTAAAGAAGGCCGGAATATTTTTGCAGTATGTGAGAGAAAATATCGATTGATATTGGTATTTATTATATCAAATCGATTGTTCGAGTATTGCAGAATATATTTTATCAAAAAATATCAGTCACAACAGAACGAACAGAGATCAAGGCCTATGTTGACGAGTAAAGGTTTCTGGCACACAGCACTATTTTTGATGTTCAACACAAGTCTTCAAATATTTGTCAAAGTGTAAAATTTTTCCTAATTTTTTACTAGAATAGATTAAAATAAATTAACTGGAAGTTATTCTCTTCATAAAATATTATTTTGGAAAAATATTGTCATGTTCAATAGATTTTAAGGGTTAAGAGTTGACCATCAATCATGCTGCTGTGTGCCAGAAACCTTTACTCGTCAACATAGCCCTTGATCTCTGTTCGTTCTGTTGTGACTGATATATTTTTTGATAAAATATATTCTGTACTACTCGAGCAATCGATTTGATATAATAAATACCAATATCAATCGATATTTTCTCTCACATACTGCAAAAATATTCCGGCCTTCTTTAGTAAAGGCTATTGAAATTGAATCGTTCCTTTAGGTTAATTCCATTTTTTGAGTTTTTATTTCAAATATTTATTCTTTTTGAGAATTATTAATTGTTTTTTACTAATTCTAGCAATTTCTAGTGCATTCGGACCTTTATTTTCTATAATAAGGGTGATTTCTGAATGTTAGGTGTACTGTACAAATTTTTGGCAATTTTGATAGATTTTACAGGTTTTTTCAGATATTTTTATCTGTAATGATTCTATCAGTGCTTAGTTTACATAATTGAAATAAATTAATGAGCTTTTTTAAAAATATTTAAAAAAATACAGTAAAGTAAAAAATCACACAATGTTTTAATTAAATGGCCACTTCAAAATCGATGTATTTTCATACAAACCGTTATCTATGGAAAATTGCATGCAATAATTTTCTATTTTCGCACAAAACATTTTAAGTGCAGTATATCGAAGTGTTCTGAGTTAAAAAAAATTCAAAAATACTTCAAACGAATCGAGGGCTGATCAAAAAATGTTTGTCACAGTAAATGTTTTAATTCTGTGACCACCACTGTATGTTTAACCTTAGATAGGCCTTTAAGAAAATATTCTTTAATTTTCTATTTATTTAAAATTTTTTTAAATAATTCAAGTCTTATTAGACGGACCTTGGAAAACTATTCTTTAAAAAGTCTTAGACAAACCTCGACCTTCAAAAACTATTCTTAAAAAAACCACGCCTTAGATAAAAATAGACCTTGAAAAACTATTCCTTAAAAAATCCAGGTCGTGGTCTTTCGGCCTTAAAAAATATTCATGCAACTGCCCCATATCGATAGCATTCGGCGGAATCAGTTCCAACAGCAAGTGGATTTAATTTGTAACTCCCAACTATTAATCTCCTTTGAGATAATATCCTTAACTGGTGGCTATGTATCAAAGCACGAACCTTTTAAATATATAATTTTTTTTTTCCAAACCACACAACAATACATCCTCGTCCTCCTCCTTACCTGCATTGCCTTCTTTGCCCCATAGGCAAAATCTCGTATATTAAATTCCCGATCCATATACGGCCGTATAATAAAATGTACCATCACCCAATTTTTAATGGAATTCAGCAATGATGGCCACATGATTTCGGGAAAATTCATTAGCCGTGGCAAGGTACGATTGCCCTTACCAAAATTATTGTCATCATCATCGTCGGCGGTGGTTTTTTCCTTTAATCGGTCCTCCTTCTCCGTCTTAGCGCCACTGGCGGCATGTTTAGGCGATACATCCGAATAATATCGACGAAAAGTGCAAGCGCCGCAATTAGGTCCGTTTACCAGGCCAATGTTTGTATATCCATCCGACAAAGGTTGAAATCGGCTAGCCAAGCCGTTGTTAACTGTCGGTGATGACAATAGTCTCAGCTTGGACGCCACATTGGCTCGGGAAAACGTCGTTATTACCTTCAAACTTCTCGGAACAATGTTCATTACGCAAAATAAAAAATCGTTTTGGATTAGTAGAGTTGGGTAGTTTCGGAACGTACTGGTTCAGCGGAATTGTTCGGAGAATGGAACGATCGGAACTAGGTCCAGATCATTAGTCCGTATAGAGGTTCAAATCTATTTTGAGAAATGAATAATTTCATAAGAAAAAAAAATGTTAGGGGTTATTTAAGAATATTTTTTCAAGGTCTAAGGCGTGGATTTTTTTAAAGAATATTTTTTCAGGGTTATTTATGGCGAGGATTTTTTAAAGAAATTTTTTTAGGGTTATTTATCCATGCCTTAGATGGGCCTTGAAAATGTTTTTTTTAGAAATCCAGGCCTTAGAAGGGCCTTAAAATAAAAGTCTTTAAATAGATGGGTCTTGAAAAATCCCTTTTCAATTTTTAAGAAATCCACGCCTTAAAAGGGCCTTTAAATAATAGTCTTTAAAAAGATGGGCCTTGAAGTATTCTTTTTCAATATTTAAGAAATCTACGCCTTAAAAGGGCCTTAAAATAATAGTCTTTAAGTAGATGGGCTTTGAAAAATATTCTTCAAAAAATGCACTTCTTATTTTAAAAGATCTACACAAGGCGTGGATTTTTTAAAATTAGATTCAAGGTAGATATATAAGGTTCCGCAACAGGCATGATGTGTCGCTGGGCCATAATAAAACACACTCACCAGTAATCGATTAAAAATTAAAATCAAGATCTATTACAAGGTGCAAGATCTATTAATAAGGTCACCAACAAGATCTGTTAATTAGGTACCCAGGTAACAATCGAAATCGGAAAACAGCGGTTTTTTCTCAAGTCCAATGTCAAAAATTTCGACTATGTTTACGTTTTCATAATGGAAGTAAATTCACAATAATGCATTTTGACAACAAACTTGAGTGGCGCAGATAGCCAGCTGGTCTCCCTGGGGATATTATGTATAGGCCATGGGCAAGATCTATTAATACGGTCACCAAGGTAGCAATCGAAATCGGAAAAAAGCTGTGTTTCCTCAAGTCCAATGTCAAAAATTTCGACTTTGTTTACGTTTTCATAATGGAAGTCAATTCACAATAATGCATTTTGACAGCAAACTTGAGTGGCGCAGATAGCCAGCTGGTCTCCCTGACGACCTTATTTACAGGCCTTGGAACAGCTGATTGCGGTCAGTGTTCTTGTTTACATTTCAAAACATGCGTTAAATAATCATTTATTAAAGGGGAATAATTAAGAAGAAATATGACAGAAAAAGATACAAATTCAAACGATGCTAAAGCCTCCGTACTAAAGGATGAATGGGCGGTAGGTCTAATAGAATAAAACCTTATGAAACTTGATATTATCAACGCCCTTTTTCCAGATACGACCCTGCTCCGTGTACAAAGATGAATACGATGATTGTACCAGTTTTAAGGCTAGATTCCATCAGTATTTTATCCATGGCGAAAATACCGATTGCACCCAATGGCAAACAGATTACAAAAATTGTGTAAAGTATCAGGATTCCAATGGCAATGATGTGGCGGCCGGCGAGGCTGTAATACGCAGCGAAGAAGAAAGACGTTTGAAACGTTTCCATGGCCATTATGGCAACACGGTGTGGCAAAAGCGAAAAAGTCCCCCCGAAGATTGGGCAGCACCACTGCCCGAATGGATGGAGAAGAAAAATGAAAATTCATATCTGCAATTGAAACAAATGGAATTGGAGGGACGAGCCGAACCCACAGAGACAAAATCCTATTGTGCGATAATGTAGTAAAATAAAAAACATTAAAAATTATTGATTTATTTTGCAGTTTATTAAACCAAATACCCTCTAAAGCTTTTATTCTTATTTTGAATAAGTTATATTGAAATTACAAAAAAAAAAAAAAAAATAATTAGACTAGCATTGATATTTGATATCAAAAATTAATCTATGTGTTGGTGTTCCATATCTTTTAGAATTGTTTTGGCGGATGCTGGGGCACGACCCAATTTGTATAGTAAATTAAAATACAGCGATAGGCAGGAACGTTTAAACGAAAAAGACCTATAAAGAGGGAAATATGCATTTCGCAACATTAAAAATGATTTTGTTTTTCAAATTTACTTACCACAATGAATATTCAAAATATACACGACGATATAACCACTTAAAATATCCCATGACGTTATTGTAATTTCGATAAATACATTTTTGTGCATATTGGGCCATTACCTTGGGCCTGTTGACAACATCACCATGCATGCGTCCTATGGCACGTACCGTATTTAAATTTCTGAAAGGAAATTTACAATGTTTTATTAATTATTCGTTTCATTTTAACAATTTTCAATTTCAATTACCTCACAACAAATAACATATTTCTTGGCATTTCCTTGAGGGTCGACATTATCATTTCGAAATTCTTTTGGGCAATTTGTTGCATATAATTAATGTCATCTTCGTTAAGTTTTGTTTTGATGGTACCACCGTGAATGCGTATGGGCTGCTGGAAAAGAACCTCGGCAAATTTCATATGATCCTTGATGCCCAATTTATTTGCGGCCCTTTGCATGCTTTTCTCATCTCTTAATACTGTTGCTTCCCAAAATTCACACAAATTATTTCGTATGTTACCGGGCAACTCTTCATATAATCCATGGTCAAGCAGGACCAATTCTGCCTTGCCAGTGGGTGTTTTGCGAACAAAGACTGAAATAATAAAAAAAATGTCGTAATTTTAGTAAAGCCCCCCATTTAGGTGTGAACACACACCTAGCTTTCAATTTAAAAATAATTTTTAAGTCCCACATTTAGGCGTTGATTTTAAAAAAATATCATTTCTAAACACCAACCTATCCGGGGATTTTTTCAAATATTTTTTTTAAATTATTTTTTCCTAACACTTCTTCGAAGATATTTTTAAAATCTTTTTGATTATTAATTCTTTTTTTACTTACTATTACTGGCATGTGGATCGGCATGTACAAAGCCCGTATTGAATATCTGTTCGGAAAACATTTGAAACAGTTTCTTGTCGATGTCCTTTAGATTCAATTTGGTACGTTCCAATTTTTCAATATCACTTATTTTGATGCCATCTATCCATTCCAATGTTAATACTCTCTGTAATAACAATTACGATTAAATAATATTCAAATTCAATATCATCTTTTGTGGCTTACCGTTTTGGTATGCGTCCAATATACCTTGGGTATGTGAACAAATTTTAATATTTTCAAATCTTTAGCACACCGTTCGACATTTTTGCCCTCATTAATGAAATTCAATTCTTGCACCAAATTCTTTTTCACATCGCGCAAGATCCAACCGAAATTATAACTTTTAAAGAAAAACTCCACAATGTCATGTAAGATGATTATGGTACCAAGATCGCTGACAAAACGTTTTTGCAGATCACTGTATTGGACCTGAAACAAAAACAAACAAATTAAGCAGGCGTTCAAATAGTATATATTCCCCACACAATTTTGTTTTACCTTAACCGCAACCTGTTGCCCCGTTTCCAATTTGGCTTTGAACACCTGTGCAATACTTGCTGCCGCCACTGGGGTATAATCAAATTCTTGAAACAAATTCTCTGGATTTGTGCCGAAATCCTTTTGAAACACCCGCTGGACATCTTCCTTAGATGTGGGTAAACATTTATCCTGAAGTTTGGCCAATGTACTGGTGTACTCTTTGGGTAAAATATGATTGATGGCAGCAAATCCCTGACCCACTTTAATGTAAAGACCACCATTTCGTAAACATGTTTCCAACAAACGATCTGCACTTCGTTGATGTACGACTTTTATGTTTTTCTCATATTCCGGATCATTTTCATCCAACATAAAATAATCGTAGGATATTAGGGAAGCAGTTTTGAGGGAACGAATAAATCGTGTAGCTGCCCCAAAATATGTAAATTCATTTACTACCCCATCGTAGAGTAAGAGCCCGCCCAGGGAGCAACCAAAACCAATGGAAAATAATGGTAGTTTTTTAACATCCTTCTTGGCGCCCTGTGACGGATGAAATTGTCGTCGCAGTGTTAGGGTATTCCGCCGTACATAATTTGCAAATAGAGCCTAGGGGAATATATTTTTGAATTACTTCGTGAAGCTTTGTGAATGGCAAAATGTTTGTTGTTACCTTCCGTATCATCTTGTCTGGTTTAACATTATTAGTCTAATAGTCACAGGTGAGTCTTCAAGTGCTTTCACACCTTTCCTTCGCCCAACACATTAATTTGGACTATGGTCAAGTGCTGAAGTTGCAACAGAATCCGTGTTTTTTACGATGTAAACATTTTCAAGGTTACAGCCATGGCCTATAAATAAGGTCACCAAGGGAGACCAGCTGATTATCGATACCTCTCAAGTTCGCTGTCAAAATGCATTATTGTGAATTGACTTCCATTATGAGAACGTAAACAAAGTCGAAATTTTTGACATTAGACTTTCGATTGCTATCTTGGTGACCTTATTAATAGATCTTGGTTACAGCTGTGGCTCAGCTGTTTGAAATCGATAACAGCGGTAGAGAAGGTTAGGGCACCGGCACATCCATCGAGTTACGCATTTTTTCAAATCACATCAACACGCACTCCGTTTTTGAAGGGCCATCTCTGAAATCCATGTTTTCAATCTACAGTTGGAGATTACCGCCCAAATAGATTTTTAGATGGTCAGTTCCCCAATTTGGACTATGGTCAAATGTTGAAATTGCAACAGAATCCGTATTTTTGGCGATGTAAACACACGATCCAATAAACAAGTGGTGTCAGAAGCAATCGTTTTTGACAATTTTGGATTAAAATCCCTCAATGCTGTCAATTTTTTTGTTTACGTTTTCACACGATTAATTCAAAATTGAAAGCATTTTGACAGCTCGAGTGAAATCATCTGGCCTTAACGGACGACCTTATTGTTGGATCATGATGTACATAAACATCTTCAAGGTTACAGCTGTTGCTCAGCTGTTTTAAAATCGATAACAGCCGTTAAGAATGTTAAGTATAAGCCAAGGCCTATAGCATGGCCTATAAATAAGGTCACCAAGGGAGACCAGCTGATTATCGATACTTCTCAAGTTTGCTGTCAAAATGCATTATTGTGAATTGACTTCCATTATGAAAACGTAAACAAAGTCGAAATTTTTGACATTAGACTTGAGAAAAAACAGCTGTTTTCCGATTTCGATTGCTATCTTGGTGACCTTATTAATAGATCTTGGGCCTATAGATAAAGTCACCCCGGGAAACCAGATGAATATCCCAGCCACTCAAGTTTTTCAAGGGCCAACTGAGCCGTGGATTTATTAAAGAATATCTCTCAATATCCTCCCTTGAAATAATTTCATCATTAGCTCCCCACCTTAATTATTCCACAATTTCTTGTTATCGTTATCGATATGTATGAAACAGCTGTTTTGTCCAATCATATGTTTGATCATTACACCAAATGAATGTTTTGTTTATATTTTGTTGGCGATGACTTTGTGACATTGTGTGTATAGAGAATTAGAGGCCAAACGAAACGGAAAATAATAGCAAAGAAAATGTTAAAAACAATAACTTTACGGCCATTTCAATGCACTTTCCAGTGCATTTCTAGTCAAAAAATGTAAGTTTCGTTCATGAGATGTGGACATGGTATTGTAATATTTACATTGCGTAATCCGAAATTAATAGAATGAACGATAGATACACCTCGTTCATTGTCAAGGTTAGATGAGGAAGTGATTCGAAAACAAATGATAACAGGAAGTGCTGTAAATGTGTGTGACACTTAGTTTTTTGATAATATATTTTTTATTTGTTTTCCATAGAATCTCAAGGGGTTATGTGCAACAGCATCAGACAAGACTCTTTAATATTGGCAATATTGTCAAGCGACAGCGTGGCTATGAGAAAAAGGAATTATTGGGGTAAGTAATAATGGAATTTTATGAAATACAATATACATATTTAAATAACTTTTTTTCAGCTACTCCATGCAAGAAATGTATTCTGTGGTATCGGATGTAACAAATTACCAACAATTTGTGCCGTATGTCAAGAAGTCTCATGTCCACAGTAAACACAGTAACGGCTTTAAGGCAGATCTCATTGTGGGTTTTCCACCCCTACACGAGGTGTATACCTCAAATGTTACACTGAAAAATCCCACCCTTGTCACATCCGAATGTAAAGATGGCCGGCTCTTTGATTATCTCCTTAACGAATGGCGTTTTAGTCCCGGTCTAAAAGATATACCACAGTCGTGTGTTTTAGATTTTAAAGTACATTTTCAATTTAAGTCGCTGCTGCACAGTAATATTGCAAATTTGTTTTTCGATTTAATATGTGATCAAATGGAACAGGCATTTGTTGCCGAGGCGAAGAGACGTTACGGGGAGGCATCGATAAAATCACATATTTTATCATCGAAACGATCCTGACACTCGTTTGAGAAGGAAAACCAAATGAAGGAGAATAATTAGTATGTTTTAAATGGATAGGTTTTAGAAAAAAGTTCCAAACGATTTTGGTTTAAGATGAAAGAGGCCCTCTTACACATATTGTTTGTAATGATATTTATACCAAAAAGATTGATTGTATATACACACTTTGACTTTTATATATATATGTATTAAATTTAAATGTTTGTTTTTTTTTATTAAATAAAATAAGGTAATAAATGACGAAATGAAAACTTAATTGGAACGGAGTTTTTAAGAATATTTTTTTAGATTATTTCTTCCGGATAGATTGTAATATCCCACGAAGGGTTTTTTAATTTTTTTCCAATCCGTTACATATGCCTACATGTCCCTCGAATAAGAGTGGATTTTTTAATAAGAGAGGATTTTACTAAATTTTTTTTTTAATTTTTCATGCAAAGGTTAATTTTTTCCTCGAGGCTTGGATTGGATTTTAAAATATGTTTTCAAGACCCTTTTCGAGACAATGTGTTTAACAAAGTAATAGCTTTTCTAATATAAATAACTAAATAATTAGACATTTCAGATTGACATTTGTTTATCTAAAAATGAAAATAAATTTATATTAGGGTTTGGTAAATAGTATAAAACACATTCCGATTTGAAAATTTTATAATTTTTATAGCAACTGCAAATCGGAAATTTAGATGCTTAATACGAAAATAAATGCATTTCTGGCCTAATAAAATACATATAAACACATTCCGAAGTAAAAATGGTCAAAAATGCGGACGCATTGCTATAATTTTTATAGCAAAGTTACGAAAGTTTACGAAAGTTATACTGTTTGGACGTTGCCCTGCCGAAAAATATTAGGATATAGGTAGTACATGCGCTGATTATGCCTCACTTTATGTATTGTGTTGAGATTTTTGGTGGCAGCTGTGGCTTTGTCTTGCGCAAACTTAGGCTTTAATTCCACAGAGTAATGCGTTATGTGTTTGTACTTAAGTTGCGTGATCATGTTTCTCCTTATGTCAAAGAGTTTCTTGGTACTTCGTTTGATGATTTCAGATTTAAAATCAGATGTATGCTTTTTTTCTATAAGGTTTACAAAACCCAAACTCCTTCCTCAGTAGTTGAACTTTTTTCGTTCAGTAGGTCTGTGAGAAATACTCAACTCCAAGTGCCTCGTTTGAACCCATTGTTGGAGAAGTCTTTCCATGTAAGGGTAGCTCGGGTGTTCAATAGTTTGCCACAGGTTCTCAAAATATTCAGTGTTTCGTTAAAATGTTACAAGAAAAAGTTACTTCAATATGCAGATGTTCATGGATTTTAATGTATATATTTTGTTAAATATTTATAGATGATTTATCCTATGCTTAGTTTCATATATTTTTATTTTTCACATGTTTTAATTTGAATTTATGAATTGATTAATAATTAATCATTAATTAATTTTAAGTCTTTGGAGTAGTTCATGTATTGTTGGTTATGATATAATTAAGTGATATACTGTTAATTTTAAGCTTTTGGAGTAGTCCATGTAAAGAAGTTTTTGGAATCGCTCATGGCCCTTTGGGCTAGGTTTTTGTTTATGAAATAAATTGAAATTGAAATTAACCTTATAGTCTATGAAAAAAGAAAATAAATGCATTTCTGACATTTTCACATGGAGTTTAATACATTTCAAATTGAAAATTTTCAAAATTTGCATCATGAGGCATTTGCTATAACTTTTATAGTAAGCGAAAATCAGTCATTTCAGCTCTGACACAGAAAAATAATTCATTTATGGCATTCTCGCACAGCTTTTAACGCATTTCTAATTTAAAAATTTCAAATTTGGCAACATGACACACTTGCTATAATTTTTATAGCAACTCTAAATAATCCATTTTTTGCTCTGCAAAAGAAAACAAGCGCATTTATAGCAACCTCATGTTTAAAAATTGCAAATTTGGAAATTTGAGACACTTGCTAAAATTTTTATAGCAAGCGAAAATAAGTCAGTTAGGCCGCTAATTAATGCATTTATGTTTGAAAATATGTTTTCAAGTCCGTCATTTAGGCGTGGATTTTTTATAAATAAGTTTTTCAAGTCCCTCAAATCTTTACTTACCTTCAATGCCTTTAAACATTAAATAAAAATATATGATTTTAAAGTTTTCTTTAGAAAATTCGTTACTTATCATTTTATTGACCTAAAATGTCTACAAAATTGTTTTTCTTCTTCTTTTTCATTTTATTGTTCTAAAATTCCTTATACGTTATCTATCATTCTAAATTATTTATTTTTTTATTCAATTATTTTGTTATAGTTTATTATCTTTTATGGGTGTGTGTGTGTGGTAAAAAGATGTTGTAATTGTTTTCTTTTTTAACGTTAACTACTGAAACGTTTGTTGTAACTACAATAAAAACTACACAGCATTTAACAATTAATAATTAGTATTTTTTGTTGTTGTTTGATAAGGATTCGTATAAATATTGATGTGTTTGGGTTTTTTTATGAAAATAAAAAAATAGAAATGTGTATAAAAAGAAGTACCAAGCCTTTTGTAATAAAATACAAAAAAATGTTTCTACAATAGTTGACTTTGCCTTTTTTTTCTGGAAAAGCGTTAGGAGTTGGAACTGTGAAAATACAGTTTTTTTTTTAATTGGCTATGGAAGAAATTATATATGACAATACTCTATACCAATTCGTTCTAACTAGGACTCTCACCTTGGGTTGGAAAAAATATTTTGTAAGTTTAAAAATATTTTTTCGGGTCCCTTAGCTTAACTGAATTGGTATAGAGTATTTAAAAATCAAAATTTTTGTAATACAAAATAAAATATGTATAATATGCCTATAGTTTTTTTAAGTTTACATACATCGTGTTAATCGAACAAGTTATTGTGTTCTTAGTTATTTTTTTTATTATTTTAAAAAAGAATTGTTCTTTCATTTACGTAATTGCATATTTAAGAGGTACAGTTTTATAGTTCTATATTTAGTAATGTGTATATTTAAAAATTAAAAAAAAAATTAGTATCAAAATAATATTTATAATAAAAAAAATTATATTTTTTCTTAACTATAATCTAAATATGTTTTAAGCACCGAAATAAACATCAAAAATAAAAACATTTTTTATAAACCATAGTATACTGTACAAATAATAATAAAAATAAAATAAAAAAATACAAATATAATACAAATCTTAAAATAAGTGGCTAATACTAGATTATTCGAATACTGTTTTGAACAGTATATATACATATAAAAAATTAGTTTTTATTTTATGTTTTTTAAAAAACAAAAAGAGGACAAGAATATTTAGATTGAATCATAAATTCTAAGAAGGGTTTTTATGTTGTATTTTTAGGAAAGTCTGTATGTCTGTGTTTATCTTCTGCATCGTCATCTTCATCGTTTATCAAAGTACAAAAATAAATAACAAAAATACTTAAGTTAAAATGTGCGATATCACTTTGTTTTTTTTTTCATTCCTCCATTTCCCAATTTCTTTTCTAGTTTGTCGTTCGTTTTTTAAGGATTAGAAATGGCAACAAAAAATTATATTATTAATTAATTATGTTTTGCTCGTTTGCCGAACATATAACCCTTCCAACGTTCGGCAGTTTGTGCAATAATCGGATCACTATCAATGGTGGCCAGCAATAGTAACTGATTGACATGGGTTGCATGATAGTCCCATCGCGCCAAATTGGGCGCCACACCTAAACTTAAATGTCGTAAATCATAGCTGGTTCCGGAACCCGTATCATAGAGTAGTAACATTTTCTTTAGCGACAACATTCCTTGATCGAAAAGTTTGCCAGCCTCCTTGGCAATATAGGACGGTGCCGTGGAATTTAGATCATATAGGCCCAATAGGGAATATATGAAACCGTTTAATACAAATGAAGCTGGCGTTGTTGGATATTCTTCATACCTGAAAATAAAAACAAAGGTTTTTATATTAGTATTTACAAATTAAAAACAGGAATTGAAAAATATTTGAATATTAAAAAAAATATTTCAAAAATCCACGCTTATGTAAGGGACATGAAAAATATTTTTAACAAATGCACGCCGTTATGATGGACTTAAAAACATATTTTTAAAACAATTGAATTATTCATTTTGTAAATTTCTGGATATTTCTGGGGTTTTTCAATTTTTTTTTTTTTAATTTTTTCTTTTTTAATCCCATATGATTTTTTTTAAACATATTGAATGTTCACTACTCACCAATTATATTTATCCATAAATTGTGCCAGCACACCACCATCTTTCGATAAAACACTATACGGTCGCAGTCCCAATGTCGCCGCCTTCAAATAACGTTTATCACCCGAATGCCAATATGCACGAGCCAACACGGAAATGGCATGACCTTGACCCATGGCCGAAAGCCAACCAGGTTTTAGCTCAGCAAAACCATTTAAATTACGTCGCACCGGATTTGGCCAGCCACCGGTACGTAAGTCTTGATGTCCGACAAACCATTCGGCAGCATCGTAGAAATGGGCCAAATGATTGCTGGTCGATAGGGAGATATTGTCAAAAAAGCCAATACCCATAAATGCAATAGAGATGACACGTAAATCGGAACGTTTCACTTTACTGGCCATTGATTTTTTCGGAGCCTCTACGGCCAATCCCTTTTGTACGTCTATGTGGAGATCTCGCGTCAAATGGCGCCATTTATTAAGTGTTTGTGTGCCACCCAGTCCATAATAGATATTATCATCTTGTACACTTAACAACAGATCGGCTGGTATATAATGTAGCCGATAAGTACGTTTGGTTTCGTGATTTTCAATGGTGACCAAGAGGCTACTGCTATTGGTGATTAAAAGCAAATCGACACTTAATACCATGTCCATGGCCTGATTGAGATTATTCAGGACAATGGCACTATCAAAATCAACGGCTGTTTCATATTGGATGACCGTTGAATTGAATTTCGGATGCCATATGCGTGAGAGGTTACTGCTTTTCGGTATGTGCCAGGTGTTACGCACTTCATCGGCATTTTCCAGGATCTGTAAGGAAGAAAAGCACAATATTTGTATGTTGTCTGAATAGTCAACTTCATTGTTTAAAACTTACATTTATTCTTGGTGCCGGTTCACTTAAATTTTTACTATAATGTGACAATGCAAACTGTGCTATTTGTGTGGGATAATAATAGCCACGCTTTTCCCATTGGGTACTGATTGGTACACCCTCAGCGGCACTTATGCACTTGACACGATCTCGAGCCTACAAATAAAATCAACATAATTAAAAAATCATCACAAACCAATCCAATCTCCCTCTTTCTACTCACCTCTACATTATAATTTTCAAAATACATAAATAGCCCCCGCGGATCATACTTGGCTTTGGGTAAATTGATTTTCGCCGTACTATGCATCCATAGAAATTGTGGTTCAGCAACACCGCCTCCACCCCCTGCTGCACCAACAACACCACCACCAATTTCATTATTCATTACCTCCAATGTCTGTGGCGATGAGGGATTACTCATCGACCCCGATATATCAAAATAGGTGCGCAAAAATGAAAAAGGCACATAGATTTCATGGGCCTCTTCATCACGTTTACAATTAATGGTATACTCTTGATTTATGAGGCACTTTATGTCCTGTAACGGTACGGAATTGTCACTTGAACCGGCACCACCATCACCATCGTCTATATTATTATTGAGTAAATCCAAACTGCTTCCGACGGCATATAGCTTGGGATCCCAATGTCTAACTAAGTCTCGGGGAAATGTAAATTCGGCACAGCGCATATAAACGGCACATGTTATAACAACCTGTGGGCCGAAATGGGGAAAATGTTTGGATTAATAAATGGGTTTTTTATTTCACGATTTTTTAAACATTTATATTTAATTTTTTTGAAATATTTTTGAAAACATTTTTAATACATAAAATATTTAAAAAATATTAAAAAAAACACACCATATAAATATGTGAATGTGTTTTAAAAAACATGAAAAATTTATATTTTTTAAAAATATTTTTTATGGTTTCAACAGAGACGTGGATTTTTTTTAAATATTTTTATAAGTCTAATTAAAAATCTAATTAAAAATGCACCTTATATGGTTCATTGAAAAAAAAATATTTTAAAAAAATTGTAAAAAAAATATTTAACAATAATTTATTTCAATTAAATCGACTTACCACAGCTACTGTCAGTAATAACAAAACTGCCTTCAGATTTAACCGCATGATGATTAGCACAAATATCGGTTCACGCTGTAATGGGAAAAATATGAAGAACAGGAAAACAAATTAAATAAAATGTAAAAAAGCAAAAAAAAAATAATAATAAAATGAAAACATCTATTGTCAATGGCAAGCGACGGATGAGATAGGCTGGCACAGGCATGCATGGATTGATTGCATGGGAGAGATGGAAGACTTTATCAATATTTCTAGGTATTTTTTTTTTTTTGATTTTTCGATTCGATTTTACTTCTGTAAATATGTGCATTGAAATCATGAAAATAAACAATAAATGTGTCGCTCAACCACTTTTTCGTTTAAAAAGGTAGAGATAAAAACAAAAAACAAATATTTATTTATGTGAACACGCAACATAATCAATTCTTACCGGTTTTATGGGTCGATCGATCTATCGGTTGCACGTTCACGATTCGGTTCAGTTATTTTAATTTTGTTGTTGTAGTAGTTTTTTTTTTCTACGGTGACATAAAACTTGTTTTCCTCTCGATAATGAAGAGTGTGGAAATTTTTGTTTGAAATGCAACTGAGAAATTCTTAGATTGTAACACCTTCAGCTCAGCATGTTATGCCACAGACTGAGGACATTTGATTCTATGGATTCTATGAAATATGCAAAATAGCCTAGCTAGGCTAGAGTCGGTTGGTGGTTGCGGTGTTATTTGAGGATGGTTGGTGGTTTTGATAATTAAAATACCATTAGTTTTGGGAAGAAAGGTATTTTTGGGTTCACAAATGATCTCACTGACTCTCTGATCGTCGATGTAAAGGGTCACATCTTAAAAAATCTCTATGTGAGTATGTGTGTGTGGGCGGATGTGTCATGCACAACTAATCTAAAAACTGGTCCAGGTAGCCAAAAACAAAAAGGGTCACATTTAAAATGAGGAAGTTAGAGGAGTAAGAGGATTAGAAAATAATTAAAGAGAATCTCTACCATAAAGAAGAAAAATAAGTTATCCTTATTCGTGAGAACAACAAGTACAAAGGAACTAGATTTTTGTAGAGAGGAAAGTTAATTGGCATTAAAGCCAGTATTAGGTTGGTTGGGTACTTCAGCTGCTATCAGTGGCTCAAGCCATGGTTAATGTTTCAAAAGGCGTAACACCACTTGTTTGGTTGCTTGCAAATTAGGATATGGGATTAGGGAAGGCGATAGGGCAGGTAAATGTCATTGCAAAATGAGGGCAGGGGTTAAACACAACAGCAGACTAGGGTACATGTTATGTTAATGGATAATTGCTCCGTGAAAAAATGATTTAAGCCAGTAAGGAAAAGTAGTAAAGTCGGACTGGGCCCTTCACCACTTTGGGTATATTCTTCATATGTATCCTAACATACGTTTTTTGTTATATATCTATATCTGAACCGATTTCAGAAAAAACTTGCCAGAGACTAATTTATATAACTTCAGTACGTTGTATCAATCGGCCTAGCTATGGATCTTTTCACGAAGCTTAGCACACGTCATTCTAGACTTAATTCAGTACGCTATGACAAATTTCGTGCAAATCGAATGATTTTCAGAGACTTTGGTGCATCAATTGCCTAAAATCGGATGCAAATATATATGGGAGCTATATCTAAATCTGAACCGATTTTCACGAAATTCAACACACATCATTCTAGGCCTAATTCATTACGCTGTGCCAAATTTCGTCCAAATCGAAAGATATATAGGGACTTTGGTGCACCATTTACTTAAATCAGACGAAAATATATATGGGAGCTATATGTAAATCTAAACCGATTTTCAGGAAACTGGCGTAAATCGACTCAGAAAGTGATTCTATGCATATTCTCAAAAGGAACCATGTGTCTGTTTCGTTTCCTTTTGCCTGTTACAAACATATGCACAACGACATAATACCCTGTACCACAGTGTGGTGAAGGGTATAAAAACGAATATTTCAAAGTGCTGTATCATCAAATAAAAATAAATAAAATAAATTAACATAAAAAAATAATATGGAAAAACTCATTATAACGTCACTTCTTAAAAATATATTGAAGTAATTTAATCGGCACCAAAGAGAACCCATTAAATGAAAACATCATCATAAATTCAATGGGAGTTCTTTGTGGTAAATATCAAACAAAATCTCCCCCTCTCTCATAATGTTTTCAAATATTGTGTATGTTTGTTTATTTTTTAATTTCATATTTGAAGATTTTCTTGAAATTATTATTATTATTTTCGAAATCATTTGAGCATATGAAGGGATGATGATATGAACATCTCAAATAAATTATAAAAATAGCGCACAACAACAATAATAGATAAAATTTAATGATCAATGGAACTAAATCACTGCTCCTCATGATGATGATGTCATTCATTGTCAATATGTACAGTTCAAAAGTATAGGGAATAAGTAATTAGAATTCCGTTCTTTTGAATATGAAATAAAGCGATCGACAAAATCAATACAATAGTTTTTTCTTTAATGCATTCTAATTAGGTCTGAACGGGTTTTTAATACTTTCTTAGTTATGCCCATTGACGTCTTTTAAAAGAAGAAAAGGAGGGAAGGGGAGGTCGAACAAAGAGAGACCCCATAGCACTTTATTATTGTGTAAGAACACTTTTTGAAAATCTAAGGACCTGGTCATAGGTCCTTATATTTTCCATGTACCCATATTTATGGATTAAAAAAAATAATAAAAAACGCACACCCATGTAGATTTTTATACCCTCAGCCATAGGATATATACGCATTGATACGGAGAAAATGTGCCCTCATCGAAATATTGGAGTCGATTTACCCATGTCCGTCCGTCCGTTGTCCGTCTGGCTGGCGCGTACGCTAACTATTGAAGACAGCAACCGATTTCATTCAAAATGTGCACATCTTAATATGTCTTCCAAACTTAGTTTAGGTTTGAAGATGGAGAATATCGGTCCACTCCTTCTGGTATCACCCTCAAAAAATGATAAATTTTCGTTAAAATCGGATCCATAATCCACGATTAAAAACTCCAAGTAGCCATGAACAAAAATGATACAAAATACATTTTTTTGTTTTCATAAGCACAGATTTTTTAAATAAATTTTTTAAGAATTGTCGTTATGGCAGATTTAGAAAAAAAAACAATTTTTTCATTTTAATAATCATAAATTAAAAATATATCTTGAATTTATTTCATTATTTTTAAAAAATCTACGTTTCTGATATTGGGTATATCCTCTTTTTTTAATTCACACTTTTGAAAATTTCTAAAAAATTAGTTTTGAAATATTCGAACTTCTTTAAAATATATGTTTTTAAGCCCCCCTTTCTAATAGCTCTTCAAAAATCCATACCACGAGCCCTTGAAATAAATGATTAAAAAAATCCAGGTTTTTAACTGACAGGTCTTCAATTAAATATTTGAAAAAAATACTCTATTCTGATAGTTTAAAAAAAACAGTCCGATTTTTTTCAAAAAATATTTTAAAAAGTCCTCGTTTTTAAATTATATTATGTTTGCTGATACCGTTGGCCTTCCCAGATTTCATAAACTGTCTTCTGTTTCCTCGAATTCCTAATTTCAAGTGACAGATGTTATGGTCCACACAATAAAAATCACTCCCAATCGATTATGTTTATAAATTATGGCATGCACGTACATGGCACACGACATGTACTACTTGAAAGAAAAAAAACAATCAACTCGAACACAAATCATCTTCAGAAATTCGATCTAAAAAATGACAAATAAAAACAACAAAAATCTAATTATACAACTTAATAAACAACCCTCGTTTCGATTTTATATACATACGTACATGCCTTCGTTTGATGTTTTCTTCAAATTTAGAATGTAAACAAAAAATCAAACACACACAAACATACAGCCCAACACGCACGCACCATAGCACAACAAAAAAAAATCCAACAACATACACTTGGCATATGGTTTTAAAGGGAAAACCAGGTAACAACAACCATCATCATCATTGTTATTATGGACAGCATGATTGTTCACAAGAGCAATAATTGTCATTTAACATGAATGAACGAGATTTACGAGATTATAAAAAATATAGAAAGCAAAAAAAGAAATTCAATAATAACAACAATAACACCAAAGAAACATACCTTTGAGTTTGATCGTCTTCGTTTGGATAGTAATAGTTGGTGTTGTTGTTCGTGTTGATTATGTTTATGCAGAACAGCGGCAGTGGCCGAATTAATGATAACTAAACGATTTTGTTGTTGTTGTAGGTTGTTTTTAGTATTACCAGCACTACTGCTACTATTATTGTTGTTGTTGTTATTGGTGGACGAGAAGGAATGCTGCGTCGACGTTAATGATGTTTTTGTTGTTGTTGTTATTATTGTTGAGGCATTGAAGGAAGCTAAATTGTTGTCTGGTATAGTTTTGGTATCTCTTTGACCGCATTTTTGCATTATGTATTACAACAACAATTAGTTTTTTCTCTATTTTATTTCACTGGATACTTCTCGGTTTCTTTTTTATATCTTTAAGATACGATATTTATTCATTTTTGTTGTTTTATTTTAATACAACAGCTGTCACAAAAAAAATTAAACCAAACCACCAAACATACACACTCATGCACACATAGACGCACAAACTAAAGGTAAATATTTGTTATTTTTTTGTTTTATTTTTATTTTTTATACACACATTTTGTTCTTCTTTCGATTTACTCAACACACTACATTGTTGTTGTTGCTGTTTGTGTAGTTACTTGAATTTTTTTGCACACATACATTTTTTTGTCTCACTTAAAACTATATTTCTTTGTACATATATAAATTATATAAAAAAACAATACTATAAATTAGTTTCCTGTAGTTTTGTTAAGTATTTTATGTGCTTGAATCTTTCTTTTAATTATTTTTTTACATTTTCTTTTATTATTTATTCACATGAAATGTAGAAAAAAACGACGGAAGAAACTATTAAAATATTGCATGTTGTTGTTCGTTCCACTGAAGAAAAATCGAATCGACTACAGATGTTTTTAATTTGACATGATGGCTCTCTGCCAGCGTCTCACACACAGCCAAACTCACTCTCGCACAC